ATAATTTAAAAAAGACAAATTCCTAGATAAAGTGGAACTATTAATTGTAGTTGTGATGTACTACATCAATATAACTGATGAATGTTTAAACTTATACTATTTGATTTTGATTGGAGGTTCTCTAAGGTTAAGGATGGGTAGTTAGAGCTGGGCAGCTATTACTTCCGGGTGGAAACAAAATGTTTGGCTATCTTACCTTCTTAGCATGGATTTTGGCCTTTTAGTAGGTAAGAAAATCAAGAAGAATATATCCAGTTATTGAAAAATGAATATTTAAAGTTATTAGTGCTTTAATTGTTGGAAATTTTGACTGAAACTTATTAAAAAAAAAAAAATGGAAAAAAAAGACAAAAAGAAAGTGGGTTGCAATAGGTTTCCAGGGAACCCCGTGTTTTGAGCTGCAAAAGGAAAGAAAATAAAGGCACACGCTGCTTGATCAATTCGGAAAAAGAATCAGTAATTGTGTGGAAGGAGATATAATGTTTAAGGCAATAAAATAATCATTACCTGCCAAAGTCGAGAAATTGAAATTGCACTATATGTTTGAACATGCACATGGCTGGAAGATGTGGTTTTGAGAGGGACAGTGATTAAAGAAACCTACAGCAGTGAATAAAAGAGCACGGAGCTCATGGGCAAAAAGCATATTTCAGCGCCCAAAGCCTGGAGAGAGAGAGAGAGAGAGAGAAGGTATGCACATGCATTGGGTGTTAGTTTTGTGTTGCGGAGGTTGAGAGAATGAAGGGCGATTGTAATTTGACGATCTGATAGTGAGCTGACTCTCCCTCTCTCATTGATGTAGATTGAACCACATAAATTTGTATCTAGTTTTCTTCATTGCATTCGTTGCGTGTGGTGAGAATTTTTTGCCAACATTAGTAGCTTTAGCTCGTAATTAAGGCAATCATTCAGTAGGCCACACAGACATGTTACTTGAATCTGTGAAGATAAATTTAAAACAATAGATAAATCAGAGGAAAAGGCGACAAAAATAAATAAAAAGTAAATAGAAACCTAGAAGAGGCCATCAGTGAGGCTGTGAAGTAACTAGAAGAGGGAAGAGGAAAGGGAGACAGCGCTGGTATATCTAACCCTAAAAATTATAAGCATGTTTTGAACTAAGGCAATTTCAGCCCTAAAGACTAAAAGTATGTTCAGCACTAAATTAAAAACCTGGTTTTACTATTCCCAAAATATTTTTATTAGTTGGAAGTGATAAAGATTATGGAAAGGCCCAATTTTTTTTACTCCTAAAAAGGCCAAGTGATTTAACTATAATTGCAAAAAGACCCATGCAGTTTTAACTTCATTGCAAAGACCTGCGCTATTTTAAAGTGTAAAAAATATAAAGAGGTTATATACTATTAAAAGTAATAAAGAATTTTTTGAATATTATTTTAGTCGATGTGTCCCCAACATTTCATACCCCACTTCTATGAAAAATCGTGTCAGTGTTGTGTCGGGGTTTCCTAGTCAGGCATGATACGGCAGCAGCTGTAATTTGTAGACTGAAAGATCTCTGACGGTCTAGAATAAAAAAACAATACATATATTTTTTGTTTTACTCTCATCTAGTACAATGACTCAATTTGGGCTCTGCATTGTGTGCACAATTGACCAATTGTACATACCACCTTTCTGTGTGGTGATCCCTTTCTGTCATGTCTGTAATTGAAGTCGGTGTCTACAATGAACAAGGCTTCACTATTGCAGTTTTTCTATTGATTAATTACATGCTTGTGTGCAGGGAGAAACTGATCGGTACAGATTGGGTAGCTGTTAACACTAATGATGGCAAGAGATATTACTACAACACTAGAACACAGGTATGGTCATGAGGTTGAAATTGCATCCCCTCTATCATCTTCCCATGTATCTTCTGGAGCCAATTCATTTCTGCATTTGAAGCTGATTTAATTATCTTTTAATTTAAATGTTCCTGTGAATTTTCAATAGATTATCTTTTAAAAAAAATAAAAATAAATGTGAACCTCCCTTTCCAATTTCTTCAAATAAAAGGGTCTATTGTCTAATTAGTAAATGACTACATAAATTTTGTATATTTCGGATCAAACAGAGGAGATTGTTACCGGACTTTTTTCCCCAGATGTTCTTGAGAAGTGAATGACGCAAAACGTAATAGAGAAGAAGAAGAATTTGGGGACAGAGGAAGAACTTGGGATTTGGGAGGGGGAAAATTTCTCTAAACTGAAACCCAGTCAAAATTTTTATCTATGCTGTCTGACCTGATGGAACCCGAATCTTTTTCCAAACCCAACACCCACTACCACCGAACCACCACCCAGAAAACCGGCCTCGCGCCACAAATGCAGCCACCATTTCAGGCGGCGACCCTAGGTGGAAACCCTAGCGCCGC